TCCCTAGCTGGTGGGTGCTTTCCCTGGCCAGCCAGACACTCTTCCCAGCACCAGACAGGCATCAACCCCATTTATTTTCACAACTATCCTAGGAGAGGGGCACCACCATTATCCCAGCTTGCAGATGAGGAACCTGAGGCACAAAGAAGTTCAGTCACTCAAAGCTCTCAACAGCAGACCTAGAATTTAAACCCAGGCAGTCTGAATCCAGTGTCTGTGCTATTAATAACGACCTACCTACCTGCCTGTTTATACCATGGTCTTACACCAATTATGCTCTTATTTCTGAAAATTCTTCCTTTGCAGTCTCTCTCAGGGCCAATTTATCAGTCACAGAACATTTGTCTCAATAATGTATAATTATTCTACATTTTAAAAAATGATAACCTCCTACCTGACCCCATTATTCACTATTCTAGTAACTATGGACGACGTAAGGAGAAAATACATAAACTGGAAAAAAAAGTAAGATGAAACAGAACTTGCCAATAAGGGACTTACTGTCTCAAACCAAAAGCATTCACCTCGGGCTTTGTTAGGGCAAAGTAAAAAAGTTTACAGATATGTTAGTACCTTGGAGCCCAATAAAAACGCACACTGATTTTTAATTACATTAAAACGCAGAATGATCTATTTTCACTTTAATTGTTCGATATATCTATTAAGATTCGGCCTGTGGGCTCCTCCAGCCCTGAGGAAACAGCAGTGAGCAAAGAAAACAAAGGCCCTTCTCTCTGTGGAGCTAATGTTGCATTGCAGTGGGGAGACCCGTGATGAGCCGGTTCAAAAGCACCAGGTGAGGTCAGGCAGAGGCAAGGGCTAGGAATAACTAAAGCAGGGCCCGGGGCTGAAGTCTGAAGGGAGGAGGCCATTTTGAGCAGGTGATCAGTGAGATCTTCTCCACAGAAGGGACATCTCAGCAGAGACTGAAATGAAGTCAGGAAGTACACTCTGCCATCCTCTGGAGGAAGGACATTCCAGGAGGAGCATTTAGCAGAGCTGAAGAAACCACAAGGGGGGGCGGGGAGTGGGAGAAAATGGAAAACATGTACAATAAAAAGAAACCCTGTTCTTTATAGCACTGTATTATTTTGGGTACCGCTCATAATCATGCCAGTAGTGGATCGTTCATGCAGCAAATATTTCTTGTGAGTTTCTCAAGTACCAGACTCTGGGCTCAGTGCCAGGGATAGTAGTGAACACAATCATCACTGCTTATCACAAACCAAATAAAAAATCCAACTGCATGAAGGAAAAGTACAAGGAGTGTGTAGATCAGAGGAAATACACCTTATCTGAGTGGGGATGGGGGGATTACCTAAGGAAGTGATGTATTCCAGCTGAGAGCTGGATGGGTATCAACTAACCAGATGACGAACGGAAAAGAGTAATCCAGGAACCAGCATGTGTAAAGGCCCTGTGGTCAGAGGGAGCCTAGCGGGAACAGCTGGAAATTGCTAAAGTCTGGTTTAAGGTGAAGCTGGAGAGTGTGACAGAGGCCAGAGTATGCAGGGTCACCTGTCTGTAGCCATACTGAGGATGTTCGCCTTTGCACAAACAACTGGAAGTCATTGAAGTGTTTTGAGCCATTTAAACCTTTCAGTTTTGAGTGTATTATAGTGTATTATAGCTTTCATTTTTTTTTTGAGTTGGAGTCTCACTCTGTCGCCCAGACTAGAGTGCAGTGGCCGCTCCCGGCCACCGCAGCCTCGCCTGCTGGGTTCCAGCGATCCTTCTGCCTCAGCCTTCTGAGTAGCCGGAATTACAGGCATGCGCTACCATGCCCAGCTGATTTTTTGATTTATTGTAGAGATGAGGTCTCGCTGCCCAGGCGGGTCTCAAACCCAGGGGCTCAGGCAATCCACTCACCTCAGCCTCCCAAAGGCGTGGGATTACAGGCTGAGCCACCGAGCCCGTCTTATAGCTTTCTTACGGACTTAAGAAGTACAGTCAATGGTTGGCATCACTTTTCCTCTACTTGCCCAAGTTTACTACAGGTTTGATTTGACCTATTCAGCTAAAAACCACCAGCTTCCCTTCCAATTATCTAATGCCATAGTATAAATGGGATCACACAAAACAAGAGTGTTGAATAATTTCCATTCTGGAAATGGTTGAATTCTTCCATTTTTATTACATCATACTCGCTTAACAAATCCCATTTTGGGGGAGACCCCCAAAAACCAGAATTTATTTATAAAAAATGGTGTCTTTATTCTTAAATGTTTAAACTTCAGTAACCATCAAAGTCCTCTCTGTTTGATGCAGTATACCTCTTGAGAGGCTTTTCTATTGCCCAAAACAGTTTTTGCACTCCAGTTCTGAGGCCTTTTAGTGCTTCTGCCACTTTTTGTTTCACCTCTTCCTCATCGGCCAAACAGTCCTCTTTGAGGAATGTTTTCATCCAGGGAAACAAACAAACAAAAAAGCCACTCAGGGTGAGATCGGGTGAACAGGGAGGGTGAGGCACAGGGGCCATGCCATTTGTGGTCAAAAACTGCTGGCAGTTTGGGGCAGGTGTGCTCAGAAATCAATGTGGGCAGACGTTTTGAAAGAATCTCAAAAATAAATTTCTGAAGCCAATTGCAGCCTCTCACCACAACACTAGCTGGCACACTGATGCCAATGAGTTCCTAGAACACTTACCTAGAAGGGGAAGCTTGTACCACAAGGGGCCCAGCCTTCCAAAAACTAACTCTGAGTTTTTTTGGGTCCCCTCGTACATCCTGTGAAGACCTAGCCTATAATGTTCCCCCGAGTTTCACACTCTGTAATCTGCTATGAAAATGCAGTTGAAGATGGTGTGCAATATTATTCTCTAGAATTGGAATAAGACATGAAGAGAAAAAATTAGGACAAGTGCCATATTTGGAGATTATTTTCTTTGAGAACAACAACAAAGAACTGCCTAATAATTAATCACATCAGATGAAGAAAAAGAGCTTTTATTGACCTTCTGGTTATGTACAATTGGTCCAGTGATGTGTCCACAAACTATTTATTCAGTAGCTGAATACAGAATAAAGAATACTCTGACTCTTTTCCTACAAGAGTTGACAAAGAGAGCATCTTTCCATTAAATAAATTAGTATCCGAGGAAGAAAAAGCAAAAGGAAAGGGCAAAATCAAACTCTGGGAACTCTGGAGAGAAGGAACCCAGGTATCCCAGGTCTATGTTTATAGACGCAGATAAGCTCGGAGAAATTACATGAAAATTATAGACTTACTTAGAACCAGCGCTACTGCACATCAAAAGTAGACAGGATAAAGAAAACACGGTACATATACACAATGGAATATTACACAGTCATAAAGAAGGACAAAATCATGAACTCTACAGCAAATTAGATGGAGGTGGGGACAATCATACTTAGTAATCACAGAAACAGAGAAACAGAGAACCGAACACCACATGCTCTCATTCATAAGTGAAACCTGAACATTAATCACAAATAGCACAAAGGAGGGATCACAGTCATGAGACACCATTGGGGGTGGGGGGGCACATAACAACACAGAGGGCACCTGGTCCAAAACTAGGGAAACTGAGGACCAGTTGGAGGCCCAAACTTCACCAGCACTTAGGTTACTTGCATACCTGATTTGTACTCCCACATCTCTATAAGAAAATAAAGGAAGAAGAAGGAGTAGGAGAAGAAGAGGAAGAGGAGGAAGAAGAGGAGGAAAAAATGATAGGTTTGCAGAAAATGACTGAATGTCAGAACCCGGACCAGGTCCCCTCCTACTCACATCTCCAGTGCAAGTCTGTGGCAAGCAATGCCCCACCACCTCTGCCCGGGGACTTTCTCCCAGCTCATGCCTAGGCATGCCAGGATTCAGACCCTCCAGATCAGCCCTCAGTCAGATGCTGAGGGCTCCCACTTGTGATTGGGGAAAAAAAGTAAAAATACCCCAACTTCTCATCCAGCATACGGGACAACCTAAAACATCTTCCACGCCACATCTCAATGCTCTGTGACCCTGACCATGAACGTCCACTTCCCTTCCCCGTCTCCCTTCCCCACCCTCCTACCAGGGATTCCTGGCACCACCTCCCAGATAAACTATTTCACTCGAATCCTTGTCTCAGGGTCTGCTTTTGGAGAGTCCCACACTAAGAAAGCAGAACTACAGTATAACTTAAGACTGAGTTCTTTTAACTCCATACTCAGCTAAAGACATCCAAAACTAAGAGGAAAGTCGTGAAACCCATTGTACAAGGGCATTTCTAACAACCAGAGAGAGAGGAGAAGAGAGAAAGGGGCAGGGAAAAAGCATTTACACAATTTAAAAGACCAAAGGGCTTAACAGACAGATGAATGGCAGAAACATATATGGTACGTTTTCTTAAAACAATCAGGTACGCCTATATGAAATGCTAGCTTATCTATATATTAGTAGATCTAGCTGTATAACCTTTCAGTTAATTTAAAAATTAAGAAAATGTGAATCCATGTTTGAGCTAAAGCAAAAAGAGCTATCATGTTTTGGATTTCTTCCTACATACTTTGTGAATTCTCTGAGACACACAAAGTTGATACTGTTGTATGAGCAATCCTAAACTTAATTTACAGTCTTAGCAATAAAAGTCCTGTTTTTACCAAGTATGACCAACATAAATTTAAGTTTGTGCTTTATTTGTTTTACAATTTGATTAACAATCAAATCTGTTTAAGAATATATGATTATGTAACACTTTTCTTTTTTTTTTTGAGTTGGAGTCTCACTCCATCGCCCAGACTGGAGTGCAGTGGCACAGTCACGGCCACCCCAGCACCTACCTGCTGGGCTCAGGCAATCCTTCCTCCTCAGCCTTCCAAGTAGCCAGAACTACAGGCATGCACTACCACATCCAGCTAATTTTTTATTTATTGTAGAGACATATCTCGCCAAGATGCCCGAGCTGGTCTCCAACCCGCAGGCTCAGGCAATCCGCTTGCCTCGGCCTCCCAAAGTGCTGAGATTACAGGCGGAGTCACCGAACCCAGCCTATGTAACACTTTTATGATCAGATTTTCATTATTTATTCTTTAAAAACAATGCAAAGTGAAACAAAAAAAATTTATTCTTCTAGTAGCAAGTAGTGGGAGGGTCAGTCTTACTGCTGAGAGGTCAAGTTTACAGATAAGTTTGTAGCTTTCAAGGTACACCTTAGCCTGCCATCAATCTCTGCATCTTTTCTTGAAACTAGTTTCAACAATAAAGATGTAAGAAATTTCCAGTAAAATAAATAAAAAGGTACCCTCTAAAATCACTCTTCTGACATGCCAGTTGAAATTGCATATAGAATGAGTTAAAATTACAGAAACAATACTGAAGAGGAATAAGTTCAAGGTTAGTAGTGGTTGCCTCCAGGTTGTGAATTTATGGGTGATTTTGTTCTTTAATAATTCTCTCTTCCAATTTGTTTATATTACTTTTATTATCCATTCATAATATTTTTAATCAATAAAAATAACTGAATTTGTTTAAAAAACTCCTCTGAACTCTTTTGTAAAAATGGATTTTGGAAATGGGGCTGTTATTGGTAGATGATTTCTGCCCTCCCACAAGAAGATTCATGTTTAATTCTGTCCCCAGGATTCAGACTCACTTGTACAACTGTAGGCTAGATTTATATATATATATATAACAAAAAAAGGAAGTGTCTTGATTGCTTGACCTATTGAGTCGTATTTCAGAACAGTTCCCTAAAATCTGCTCTTCTCCTGACTGTCATAACTGTTTGCTAATTTCAACAGATTCGGACAAATGATATGTAATTAGCAAAAGAAGAGTCTTACTTCATAATAATTAATGGCTTGCAAAGGAACCCTCAGCGTATGCTAAAGAAGTTACTAGTGTCTCAATTTATCAAAATATAAACACTCATTTACCCAAGAAGCAACCCACTTTGTAAACATATGTCTAAGTATACATGTCATTATTTATTCACTCATGCGATACAATTTATTCGATGTCTATTATTTGCCAGGTACTAGGATAAGTAATGGGACACAAAAAATATCCTTTCCCTGCACTGGAATATTAATAGATAGGAAAGAGAAAAGGAGCCATACATACAAGTAGGTACAATCAAATATTTCAAATATAATGTCGAGTAACACATCTACAGTTCATTCTGAGATTCATTCAAAAGCTATTGGACACCTACTATGCACCAAGGATCATTCCAATTTATAAATTGTAGAAGAAGATTATTTTGAGAGGGATGCTGCTTTAAACACACATAATGATCCACAGCTCTATTCATGTGTATCACCTAGGTAATAAAAAAAATGTTTTAAATAGGCTTCCTCTCCTAAAATCCTCTTTCTTTTGCAAGCCAAGAATAGAAAGGAAAGCCCAAGTCAGCTGAATATGATGTTTGAGAGCCATAAAATAACTGTCCTTACCAAGAATACAGGATTGTTCCAACAACAGATGTGAGTTTGCTGTTTTCTTGTTTTTGCTTTGCCAGGCCAAAGTCAGCTACAATTCACAAAACAAAGCAATATGTTATTATATTTTCACAGGATTAGCATTATTCCTTAACTTTTAACATTCTACACAATTACTATTGCACTTCACAGCAGAAGATTTTCTTTTTTTTTTAAACCCCCTGTACCAATCTTCTATGCCACTCCCAGTCTTAGTTACCATGTTTTTAACCTGAAATAAGTCTTGCTGGCTGAAACATAGGACAAAGTGCTTATTGAACTTGTGATTCCACTTTTTAGGTTATTCTTTACAATTTTCAAGTAAATAGAGTGAATCTATATGGCAGTCATCCCTCCTCAGGCCAAAAGAAGAGTAAGAGATGCCTGGAAACCACCGTGAAGGTCTGAAAACCTGAAATTAACTGGCATCAATTTGTTCTAAGTCACAGTAAATTTATGTTCATAATCATCTCAAAGTATTTATATATCAACAAAAAATTGTTACTTTATCATAGAACACCAAATGTCTATATTTAATATCAGCACTAGACTGTACTTTTCAAAACACCTTCAAATGTTTCTCCTTTTTAAACAATCTTAGATCAAAGTGATGAAAACAAGTATTATTCCTATGCTAAGATTCATGAACATTTCAAACAGATTGCCAAGACTGCACAAAAAACCAGTACTAAACGAGGGTGAGAATTCAACTTGCTTTTCCTAATAAGATTTGATGTCCACAGTGTCATGTTATAAAGTGCTGCAAATGCTTATGGAATTTCACTGCAATGAACTTTAATAGAGTATTTGATTATTTACATATACTAAAATACCTTTCACATTGAAAATATTCCAAAGTAGTTCACTTCAAAATAATTTTAAAATTCACATTATTAATAATAATAATACATATTTACTAACCAACAACCTTATGCAAGCACAACTTTAGCTGCTTGCGTGAATTGCCTCATTTAAGACTCATGGCAACTCTGAAAGATAGGTACTACCATGAGTATAGCTTAGTGCCTAAAGCCGGGACTCTGAAACGGGCAGCCTCAATTTGAATACTGGCTCTATTATATGCAATCTGAGCAAGTGATTTAATCTCACTTTGCAATAGCTGTCTTATTTGAAACATAAGGACGATAACAGTATAGTATGTGTATAGTAGTAGATAGTATAGTACAACAAATGTAAATAATTGAATAAGTGCAAATACCATGTGTCCATTATAAATATTGTACAGATAATATTGTATTGTATATCTAAATAATGTAATAGAGTACTGAACAGCTGATGTATATTATTTAATTTTCACAACTACCCATTTTATAGATGGGGACACAGGCTCAGAGAGAATGAGAAACTTGGCCAGTGTCCCACAAGGGGAAATTAACAAAGTCAGATCTCAATCTGGGGTTGCTTGATTTGAAAGTTCCAAATCCTTATCAAAACGCAATACTGCTAATAAAGAAAAATCAGGCCCAGATCAATTCAATGATAAATTCAACCAAACATTTAAGAAATAGATACCAACTGTGCACAAACTCTAACAGAAAATAGAAGAGGAAGGAACACATCTCAACTCATTTCTCCAGCATTACTGCAATACCAAAGCCAAAGACATTACAAGGAAAGAAAACTGCAGAGCAGCAGCCTCATGAATGTAGGCACAAAAAATTTCAACAAACAAACAAAAGTAAATCAAATCTGGTGATATATAAAAAGGATAACACATAATGACCAAGTGGGGTTTATGCCAAAAATATAGGCTGATTCAACATTTAAAAATCAATCAATGTAGACCAGGTGCAGTGGCTCATGTTTGTAATCCCAGCACTTTAGGAAGCCGAAGCAGGAGGATTGCTTGAACCCAGGAGTTTGAGACCAATCTGGGCAACATAGCAAGACCTTGTCTCTATTAAAAAGAAAAAGTTTTTTAAAAAAATTAGCCAGGCATGGTGGCATGTGCCTGTAGTTCCAGCTTCTCAGGAGGTTGAGGCAGGAAGATTGCCTGAACCCAGAAAGTGGAGGCTGCAGTGAACTGTGATCATGCCACTGCACTCCAGCCTGGACAACAGAGTGAAACCCTGACTCAAATAAAATAAAATAAAATTCAGCAATGTAGCTACGTGGTTCACCAGAGCAATACATTAAAGAATGAAAACCATACGATCATCTCAACAGATGTACAAAAAGCATGACAAAACTCGATTTCTATTCCCTTCAGCAAAATACGAATAGATGGGTACTTCCTACAAAAACCAACAACTAACATTCTACCTGATGCTGAAAAACTGAGTGTTTTCCCTTTAAGTTCAAAAGCAAGGCAAGGCTGTCCACCACCCTCATCGTTCCTATTCAACATTGAACTTAAAGTCCAATTCAGTACAATATTTGTATGCAAATTTTTGTGTTAGCATAATTTTTAATTTCTCTTTGTTAGATACCTTGGAGTGGGGTTGCTAGATCATATTATAAGGATGTGTTTAACTTGATTTTTTTAAAACTGTCAAGCCAAAATGTTTTCTAGTGTTTTCTCTCACCAGAAATGTATAAGACTTCCAGTTGCTTCTGAATCCCCATCAGCATTTGATGTTGTCAGTTTTGGTTTAATTAGCCATCCTAATAGGTATGAAGTGAAATCTCAGTAAAGTTTTCATTTTCATTTCCCTAATGATTATTAGGGAATGTGTTGAATGTTTTTCATGTACTTGTTTGCCATCTGAATATCTTCTTTAGTTAAGTGCAATATGAAAGTTTTGCCCATTTTTTCATTAAGTTGTTTTCTTATTATTGAGTTTCTGACATAAATTATTTGTCAGATATATGATTTGCAAATATTTTCTCTTAATCGGCAGCTTGTCTTTTCATTACCCTAATAATGTTTTTCAAAGAATAGAAGTTTTCAACCTGGATGGAGTCAAATTTATTAATGTTTTTCTTTTATACTATATGGTTTTGATGTTATAGCTAAAGAAACGTTTTCCAAGCCCTAGACATTTTATAATATAAGTTATTCATGTAGTCCCATGATTCACATTGAGTTTTCATATAAGGTACAAAATATGGGTTGGGGTTCTTATTTTTGCATGTGAATTTCCAACTATTCCAGCACTAATTTGTTGGAAATAGCCCATTCCTCTCCCTGACCACCAGAGTTATACATACATTCATCTGGATAGTCACTACCTTCACTTAAGTGTCTCCTAGGTATCTCAAAATTAACACATCCCAAAGGAAATTCTTAATCCCAGTCAAACAACTCCTCCTTGGTTCCTGTCTTGATAAGTATCATCATCACTGACCTGGGTATTTTCCTCAGTTCTTTCGCTAGCTGTCAATGCATTGCCTCTAGGCTTCAAAACCACCCTTCACAGCTTTGCTTTGTGACACTGGAACTGGACCCTATAATGTTTTTCCTTTACCAGCTGGCTTATGTAAAGCTTTGGCAGTAGAGAGGCTGAAGAAAAACTGCAGAAGAGGAGTTTCTCTTCTGCTCCTGTTCTGACATGCTTCCTCGTTCCCCTGGTTGTAGCGTGCAGAATGTCTAGCAGAACTCACTTCCCTGCAGGCAACTTCTTAGAAAGTTCCCCTGGCACTCCATCCAGCTTCTCAGAAAATCTTGCAGCTCCTCAGCAGACAACACACTAGGAAATTCTGCTGGTACCTCAGTCAGCTTCACAACACTGCCACAGGGAGATTTTCAGTAAGTTCCACCAGCATTCTAGTCAGCCAGTTGGCCTCATGAGCACCCCGGCCAGCAGCTTCCCAGTAAGTTCCATTAATGACCCAGTTTCCTGAAGAGTTGTGTTGGCATCCCAGGGGGAAACGTCCTGCTTGGCAGCTTTATCTCACAGCTTTTCTTTTCTTTTCTTTTCTTTTTTTTTTTTTTTGAGTCTAAGTCTCACTCTGTCACCCAGGCTGGAGCACAGGCTGGCACGCTGCTCACAGCCACTGCAGCCTCGACCTGCTGGGCTCAGGTGATTCTTCTGCCTCAGCCTTCCAAGTAGCTGGAACCACAGGCATGTGCCACCCCGCCCGGCTTATTTTTTTGCTTTATTATAGAGACGAGGTCTTGCCATGTTGCTCAGGCTGGTCTCGAACCCCTGAGCTCAGGCAATCCTCTTGCCTCCGCCTCCCAAGTGCTGGGATTGCAGGCTTGAGTCACCGCACCCGGCTCCCATAGCATTTCAATGCCACTCTTTGCCTTCGGTGGGCTATAGTCACACCCTCTCCAACAAAGCCATAGAGGAGAGGGGTTCTCTTGAAATGTGCCCCTTGTCCATTTCACCTTAACTCTAAAGGTAGTGACCGCTTCTCCTATAGGCATGACTCACTTTATTGTGCTTCAGTGTACCGTGTTTCATAAATAATGCATTTTTTTTAACAAATTGAAGGTCGGTGGCAATCCTGTGAGGAGCAAGTCCACCACACAGTACACTTGTTTTTAACTTTTAATGTTTTTAATTTTAAAGATGTGGGGTACAATTCAGTGTTAGGTATACAAATGTTCATTATGCAGGTACCCTTGAGGATGAGGTGTACCCCCCTACCCTGGCAGATTCCCAATCCTGCCGCCCCCCCCCCCCCGCCGGCAGTTTCCCCACTACTTTCAATCCCTTTTTTTAAAAAAGCAGGATTTATTGAGAGAACAGAAAAGCTCCCACAGTGGTAGGGGACCCAAGGGGGTTGCCCCAATCCACTTCTTGTAGTATTAGGATAATTGTTTAAGGTCCGCTTATGAGTGAGAACATATGATACCATCAAGAGAGCAGGGAGATAGCCCATAGACTGGGAAAAAATATTTGCCAATCGTATGTCTGACAAAGGTCTAACATCTATGATCTATAAGGAACTCAAATGTGCCAAAAAGAAAAAAATAAACAGCCCCATTACAAAGTAGGCAAAAGACATGAATAGATACTTCTTAAAAGAAGACGTATGAACAGCGAACAGATACATGAAAAAATGTTCAGCCTCACTAGTCATCAAAAGAAATGCAAATTAAAACCACACTGCAATGCCACCTAACCCTGGTGTCACTTTTCA